TCTTTGATAAATTTGTGATCTGTATTTTGATCTTTTCAGAGAATCTGATTTGTAAATAGTTATTGTACTGAATTCTGAATAGACATTATTGACCAGTGCTTCTTCACGATGTTCAGCTCTATACAGAGTCTCAGCTGTGCTGACATGATACACAAGATGTCAAAATCAACAAAACACATGCAGAACCAACCCCTCAGAAGGGCAGACTTAAGAAAACCAGATTCTAATTAAAAATCATAATAGCATATACTGTTGGCTTTCTCTTGATAAATGTAGTCAAATAACATCAAGGTCAAAAAATGCATTGCAGTCCAGATTAGTGTGGCAATGTTGCTCGGTCACTATGAAGTTAAAGTTACACATTGCTGCATTTTGTAGCACAGCTTTATGGATTTTAACATGGAAAAACACGACTATACTTGGGGTACACTCATGTCTTCCAGCAACCTGAGTATCTGAATGTTCACAACTGCAATTAATCTATTTGAGGGAGTACAAAATTAGGTTAAACCATAAGTAACCTTCAGCTGCTTAATTAGTTTCAGTACAAAATAATATGTGCTAACTGCAGAATTAGCAGGAAATGGTACATTCATTTTGTTACAATTTTGCACTGACTTCTGGACCTATGGGGTTGACCAACCCATGTCAACCAAAGTCCCATTTAACTATTCGTGTCATAGTATTCCTCAAATTAAAGATTGCCACTTTGGTTATAATGAGATAAAATTGGTTCCTTTTTCCAGGTGGTACAACATTGTGACCCCCACTGCCAGAATGTATATGTACTTATATGCTTGTGCGTATGTGGATTTGGGATGAGGATTGGCTCAACTGTCGAATAGCACTGTTAAGCTATTCAACATGGACAGTTTGACGAGCTGTTGGAAGGCACTGGTATACGTGCAGTCATACCCATTGTGAGTCAATGCCTTCAAAGGGGACAGGGAGACTAAGAAATAACTGCAAATTTCCAGACTATATCTTTTTCATTCTCAAAACCTCTAGAGCGGAATACTTATTTAGCAGATTAATATATTATGTAGAATTTCAGCACCACAAAATCAGTGGAACTAATTACAAAAAGCAGTAGTAATTCAATTATTAATTTCTATAAAACATAGCTAGCATGTCTTGTCTTTAAGCTAATATATTATGCAATGATCCTTGTTCATACATGGTAATTTACTGAGTTCTCCTAACCCTTTATTTTATGGTTGTCCTATTAAATCACAATTTTCTTTTGGAGTCCTGTAGCTCAATGGTAAGAGCATTCGCCATGCAAGCAAGAAGACCTAAATTTGATTCCCAGCAGGGTGAAACATTGGGCAAGTTTCCTTACTCCACACGTCTCTGTTCACCTAGCAGTAAATAGGAACCCAGTTCCTTTTCCAGGGGAAAAAAATAATAATTTGGTCACTCAATCCATGACTATTTGTGGAACATTGCTGTGTGCAATTGGCTGCTGTGTTTCACACTCAAAATATGCAGTCAATTCACTTTACAGTATATTCTGTGAAGCGCCTTGAGACGTCTCAAAGACATGATAAAGCGCTATATCAAATGCAAGGATTGTTATTTATTATATTATAATGTCAACTCGTGACATCTCTTCCCACCACCACTGCAAGAAAGAACTGATCATCATTATGCCAATCTTCCTGTTTAACATGCCAATTGGCATTTTGTTTTGCAAACTGCCAGTAAGTATTTCTTATGTCCAGTTTAAGACTTGTCAGCTCAGTTCAGATGGTCGATTCTCACCTCTGGGCAGAAAATTGTGAGTTCAAGCCACAAATTGGGACTTGAAATGTACAGTTCATGCTGACACTCCAATGCAGTAATGGGGATGAATCCTTCAGATAAGATGTTAAACCGAGATGCTAAACACTTTGATCATCTGAGCTAAACTGGTGTGTTAAACTAGAATCACAAATAATTAATGTTCGTTTGTGAAACACAACAACATTTTCAAAATTCTTTAATAATCAATGCTAACTATTGTTAGTAATAGTGCACTGTACAGAATTTAATGCACTTAAGAAACACATTAGCTAGTTGAAAAAGTATTAAATAGCAGTGTAATAAATTATAATTCTGAGAATTCAGGACCATGATTAAGGGCCTCTATAGTTACCTTTGCAATTCTAAACTGTTGTCCTATGTTCTACTGTCTTTGTCATTCAAATATGTTGCTCTGAGTTTGCTTTTTCAATCCCATTTAAAATTTTATACGATACCCTCCTGGACACCTTCTCTCAAGATAGAAGAGCCGTACCTTATCTAATCATTGCTCATAGCTCATTTCTCTACTAACATTAGGAATCATCTTCATTGCTCTCCTCTACACTGTCTCTCGGACCTGGGCAGGCCTGGGGAATTATGTTGAGGCGACCTGAACTGTATGAAATACTCTTGGTGCGGCCTAACCAGAGAACTATATTGCTTAAGTATGATTCTTGGGGATCTGATTTGGCAATACAGCCCAGGATCTAGTTTGCCTTGTTTATTGGTGCCTCACACAGATTTGACGTGCTGAGCAATGAGTCAGCTAACACCCGCGTTTGATGATGTGTTTACTTTCGCTTAAACTCTCGTGAAGGATAACGTCAGCGATGTTTAGCCTGGCAGCTAGAAAGCAAAAAATCAGTCATTTTGGTGCTTGAGACTCTGGTCTCGGTTTTTAAGGTGGTGAAGGCATTATTACGCATCAGATGTTTTATTAATTACCTCAAATGTAAAATGTGCTTTTGATTAGCTTGAAATAAAAATGACTTTGTCTACAAGATTTATAAGAGGTATAGTTATTACAAGAAATCAAAGTGATTTGGGATAGATTTAGAAGAGTAGATTAAGAAAAAGAATTGTATTTTATTGTCAATGTCTTCCTTGATTATTTTGCCATTTTTCCTCATTCTGAATGTCAAGTTTGGGATTCTGTCTAAGTTTAACAAGTGTTCAAATTGAGAGGTGCCAAATTTCGACAGACAATCATTCTGTCACCCGGCTGACCACAAAAAAGTACAATTCAGAAGGTCTCAGAGAGTGGACACTATTTTTAACCTTGGGCCTACAGATCAAGCAATGTGATGAGAGTCAGTCAACAGTTATCAGCAGGTTACCCCATCACATGATTTAGGTCTAGTGCTGTGATTATTTGTCCTCGACTTGCTCAGAAGAGAACTGTTAATCTGACTCCTTAAAGGATTCAGCTAAATTTAGTCTTGGGAAATCCAGCCACTTTTCTTTACAAGTTGCCTGCAGAGATCATTGTACCTTGTAGTACACAAGTAGTAGAAATGTTAAAGTCATATTGACAATGAATAATTAATTGTGCATGAGCTAAAATATAAGGCTTCTAAAATTAGCTATAAAAGCAGTTAAGAGAATAATAGCGTAATAGTGCTGTATAGCTTCCTGAATTTTATATGGCACACCATCTCCGTCACTCATTGCTATTAATGCTTACATTTTGGGATGAATGACAGAGATAGTTTCATCTCTTCATATTAATTTTTCATAATTATCAAGTCACTTTTTCCCTCTATTTCCGATAATAGAATGTAGATTTCGAATAACGCTTCGCATTTGTTTAGAATGAGTTCTGACCGTCTCTCATCACGTGTGAGATACACAACATCTCACCCATTTTCTAGAGCAAGTATTTTAAATTTTATCTATTTTCTACTCACTGGGATACGGAGGGGAAAAAATAGTTAGGGTGGATCAGTACGAAGAGCCATGTGCTCTCAACTCGTGCACTGAGTGTGTGATTCGATTGTAATACAAGGCAAGCCGTGCACTATGGAATCTCATGCTCATTGAACCCATTGAAGACACAATGGTTTCCTGGTCTCGCTCATAGGAAATCATCAGTGCTGTCTAACCACTGAACAAGATTCATACCAGTTGACTAATCTGCATTTTCCGTCAAATTCCTCCACTTACCTGGCTGGATTGCCTAGTTTTCTGATGAGCTTGTGCATACATTTAATCACAAGCCGCTGACTAAACTTGAAAGATCAGCTAATTCCTACCTGTGTGTACATGAGACTAGAAGCTCCAACTAATAATTCAAGCCCAAGCCAACTGACATACATTCTTTCCCATAGGCACAAATTGTCTTAATAGATGAGTCAACATGTTCTCTGAATTTACGGATGTATCTTACGGGCCATTGTTGATTCTGCAACATCCACAAAGAACAGATAACTCAGAGCTGTTCTCTGTGGCTGTAAAGATCTTCAAATCACACGATGGATAGCGAAGAGAAGCTACATCACTAGATATATGACTGCCGATCATAATACTCGATGAATGCACACCATCAGATTCAACAATTAGTGTATTTCGATTATTTCTGCCCCTAGTTTTGTGACGGCTGGAGGGGGAGTTGGGGGTGGGGGGTAGAGAAATTCTACCCAAGTCTAGATTTACTCTATTTTCTTAGCATTTCAACCTGTGCAGGAAAATGGCTTCAAATTTAAGACTAAATGTATTAATTTGCTAAATACTGTTTATTAAAATGCTAAGAAAATGTTGTGAAATCTAGACCAAATGGGATTTTTACACCTAGGCTTGTTTTGATATGGTGTTCTCGAAATGGTGCAGGGGTTTTCCTGCTAAGAGACTATTCTGTGCTGTGCTATTACATTGTGCAGCAATATTTTCTGATTTGGGCACAAGTCCAGAACAATTCACTGACAGACTAGTCATTTAAGGGTTAGTCACTGTTGTGGCGCCTTCATTTGAATTGTAGATAGGGACACTGAACATCCGTAAAGTTAAAGATAACATTACCAAATATTGTTGAAATAGATTGACTGTGACCCCATTCAATTTATTTGAAAACTACAGAAAGCCTGACAGGTATCACAACATGAACAAAAACTTTTCAATCACTAAAAAGCGATTAGAGTGTTTTAGTCTTGTTCGTTATTGTGCTGGAAAAAAACATCTCAAGGTTGTCCCTTGACTTTAGTGTCACTGCTTTGTTACAGGTGGAGATTGAGAAATTGGACTACCACCACTACCTGCCTCTGTTCTTTGATGGTCTCTGTGAGACTGTGCACCCCTATGAGTTCTTTGCACGCCAGGGAATTCATGATATGCTGGAACATGGTGGCATGAAGATCCTTCCTGTTATTCCGCAGCTCATAATCCCAATAAAAAGTAAGCTTATGAAAGGTTATTTGCATTAATATAATGAGTAGAGTTTCATTCAGTTAGTTCATAATACTTTTTTCTTGCGTGAATAACAAGCAACACAAATGGAGCAAAAGCAGCTTATTTTGCTGAGAGTCTGATTTATACCTCAATACACAATAGGAATGGCAGTGTTACAAAAGTGCCATCTTCAAATAAACTCTTCATGTGAAGATCACATTCCGAATCCATAGTGAACTCATATTTGTGTCACCATTGATAAATTTTCTTTTCGCTCCTGATAATTTGTTTTTAACTCCTGCGTGCCTGATTTTACAAGGTGGCCTCCCACATCTCTGCCATTGCTGCTTTGTGGCTATTCCAACTGGCCACTAGGTGGGGTGAAAGAGCAGCCTGTGGTCACTCACCGTTATCCCTCTGTATTTGACAAGGGCTTGGCCCAGGCTGGCCAGACAGTCCTGGCAAAATCAGAGTCTCACTGGACTGGACCATGAACCCCATCCTACAACTCAACATTACAGACGTGCATCAATCCTTCTTAATTCTGTTCTGCCAGTTAAAAGGCAAGCATGTCATTACCAAAGGAGGACAAGAAAATAAATGGATATGTGGGCAAGAATGGCTCACAGACGCTCCTTTCATTTTCAGTGCCCATTGATCTGATAGCATTTCCACAGCTTTTAAAACTACAAAAGTAGTAGCACTTTGAAACTCAAAAAAAAAAACGATGCATAGTGGAAAAACTACATAAATGGAGCTCACTTCTGAATCATTAGCAAATCATTTCAGCATTACTGAGTGGGAGGTCAGCTGCAGTTTCAAAGGGTACAAAATTCCTGAAAATTGTACATTTGTGCATTAGTGCAAGTCATGCTTCTATGTTTAGACAGATTTAAATTTCAGACCTGTTGTGTAAAAATGATTATGTTCTGTAGCAAAATGTCTACTTATCTCCATTGGATTAATATTTCATGAAGTTTCAATGTTATAAAAAAATTATAAAATATATTTTTCACAACTAGCTACAGTTCACTAACTTATTACAGTTTTCTTGGGGTAAAAAAACTGATCGGGTAAATAGGGTACATTGATGGGTCTTGAAATAGTTTGCATTGTAATGCTAGTAAGCCTGTGGTTTCTAAACTCATTATATATCCATTATTGATTGCTTGGCATCAAAGATATTGTGCTTTTATAGTGCAAACTATTAGTGCATCAATTCATTACAGTATTTCATTGTTAAAATCTATTAGTACAATTCACATTAATATCATCAATGTGGAATTTCTTTGAAAAATACCCATAGTTAAAAATCCAGCATTCATTTTATTTTTGCACTTTTTAACATTTTTAATTTCACAATTAAACATTAATAACATTTTGTTCAACTTCCCAAATGCAGAACCTCGCATTTCTTTGTGGGTGGGTATAATTCTGATGAATTTCTTTGGACTTCCAGGTGAGAGATGTGAGTGCGAGTGATGAGTTTGTTTTCAAATGTTGGAATTGAGTGTTCGCATCAAGCACTTGCAAGATGGCTTTAGCACGGATAAGGTGCAGAGGAAATCTTCCTTTTTTTACCTTATGCAGGTGCCTAAACTCTAACCTCACGTATTTGTCACAACTTTATGTACTTTGTGCCAATAAACTAACAATGACTGCAATTAAGATACATTCCATGATATATAAGCCTTAAATTAGAGCTCTTTAAACTTATTCTTCTCAATATATAATGCAATACAGAATATTATAAAGTATATTTTTATTTGTAAACAGCAACAACAAATTACATTTGTATAGTGCCTTTCATGTTGGGAGGACCCAAGCAGGGTGTTGTGCTCAGGAGGAGTGCAAGGCAGGGAGGGTAGGAGTAGAAGGGTGATCGAAGGTGCAGTTGAAGAGGAGGGACTTGCCTTGATGGAGGCAAGGGAGGGTGCAAGGTGAAGGGACTGTAATAATAATAATAATAATCCTTGCATTTGATATAGCGCTTTTCACTATATATATATATATATATATATATGTAGGATGGAGTTCCAAAGGGTAGGGGCAGAGATGTTGAAGGCCCAACCACCGATGGTGGGAGGGCCGGACAGGGAACGTGGAGCAGGCCAGAACCTGCTTAGCAGAGGGAGCGGATAAGTTAATATGGCGTTAGCAGGTCATAAAGGTCGAAAGGAGCAAGGCTGAGAAGGGCTTTGAAGGTGAAGCAAGGATTTTGGACTCTATCTTCTGGGGGATGGGGAGCCAGTGGAGCCAGGCTAGGGTGGGATGATAGGGTCACAGAGCCTGGCGCGGGAGAGGATACGAGCTACAGAGTTCTGGATGATCTGCAGTTTGTGGAGGGAAGAGTTGGGACAAGCAGGGAGTTGGCATAGTCAAGCCTAGATATGATGAATGCATGGATGAGGGTTTTGGTGGCCTGAAGGGAGAGTCAGTGGCGGAGCTGGGCGATGTTGTGGAGATGGAGGAAGGCAGAGTGGGTCATGGCATGGATGTGTGGAAGAAAGTACTGTTAAAAGTACAAGACACCAAGATTTCAGACTGGCTCAATGAGGTGGAGAGTGCATCAATGGATGGTGAACAATTTACCTACAAAATACACAATCATTACACTTTACAGTAAATCCCATGAAGGGCTTTCAAACATCCTTCTGACGTTAAAGGCGCTATATCAAAGAGTTGATAATGTTATTTTTTGGACAGCCAGGTGTCCAACATATGTGGAAGTATCTAAACCAACAGAGTTCCATACATCCCATTTACACATGGAAATTTCAGAGACCTTTATTTGATTGGAACGCCCACTCTCTCCCTTTAGGGACGCATCCTGCTTACCTAATTCTGGAGAGTTAGGCAAAAGTAGACAAGAGCTAAGTGTGTGCATTGGGTTACTGCTGGAGTCGAACCAACTTTAACCACGTAGCTTGCCATTGAGAACATTGTCTGGCAAGCTTTCCTGCTGCTTGTCCAGCTAGGACCACCCTACCTATTGGGCTTTGCAGGGTTATCAGGAGCTTAGCGGGAAGAGACCCAGTTCCCAGGTACTGGTCTGTCTTTCCAAGTCCTGCCAGTGAACCAGACTGTCTGTCCTGTCATCAGCAGTACCCTGGAATACTGCAGACGCACGTGACTCAAGAACTGGATTACCGAGACCGCCAGAGAGGCTTACTCGATTCTGACATTCAGTTGCCGAACATAATAATAATACTAACAATAATTATTGGATTTAATATAGTGCCTTATCACGTGTTGAGACATCTCAAAGCGCTTCATATCCTGTAAAGTGCAGTGACCATGTATTTTGTAGACAAAATGCAGCAGCCAAAATGTGCACAATAATGTCCCACAAACAGCCATGGAGTGAGTGACCAATTTTATTTGGGGGGATTGTTTTTCAAAATAGATTGTTTTTCAAATAGTGCCATGGGATCTCTAACGTCCACTGAATAGGCAATTGGGAGCTCGGTTTAATATCTCATCCAAAGGATGGCACTTCTGACAATACAGCATACCCCAAGCACTGCATTAGTGTCAGCCTAGAGACCATGTGATTCCACGTGAGCCCCCGCTTGATCGATTCCAGGAACTCCCTGCAAGCTTCCTCGTGAGGGACGGTTATTATTAACAGAGTTATTTTTAATAACGTAGTAATATCAACTAATAATATTAATTATTTATTATCATTGGTGTTATTATTAATTCCAAACAGCTTGTTTACCATATATGTCTAATGGGAGTTAAATCTAAAAGATAATTTTGGGGCCTTTTACATAATAGTTGCAATAATTTTTTTTTAGTTATGCACTTAAAACTTGGTGAAATTATGTTTTTAAATGCAATGATGCATTTCATGGATTCATAAACCCAAACTGGGGGCTCTTCAACTTATTAATTTTCAGCTGAACAAACAATCAATCTGTTTGCAGAATATATTGTTTAGAACTTTTTATTAACTAAAAACACTGGCAAACATTTTGAAATGCAGTTCACTACCAAAATGCCCAACGTTTCAATATATAATTTATAGGAATCATGCAACAAATATTTTAGATTCTTTCCCTGTAAAGTAATAAAAATTATTTACAGATATTTTCATAAAACTTGGAATGATATTTTTATGCCGATATAAATTTGTCCATCATAGATCCGAGCTATTAAGTATTCTGCCCAAGTGCAATCCAATCCAATGTGTTATAAACAAGTTTTGTTTTCATGGTTCCCTGCCTGAGATTAGTGGAGAGGTCAGTAACCTATTGTACCAGCAACAATCACCCAAGTGTTTTTCAAATGTATACAGAAATGCAGCTACTTGCAACAAAATCCATTGTTTCAGAGTTTAATGTATCTTTTGTAATATCGATGTTGGTATGTTTTGACGTCTTAAATGACAGTATTGTTCAAGTATCAAGTATTTGTGCAAAGTTTAATCAGAATGTCTCTATGTAAGCTGTTCTCAAGTTAAGGAATTCAGGGGGAGGGCTGAACTTGGAGGTGTTAGTTATAGAAAGAAAGACATTATACTTACCTTTGAACAGAGCCAATTTGTTTCCAAAACAAAAGGACACTTAGTCTATTATTCACAAAAGTGAGATTATTGTCAAACAAAGGCAACAGAAGATGTTTCATAAAGGTCATCAGTACAAAAGGGAATAATCATGAGTTGCCACAGATATTTTAGGAGGCGATACGAAAACTAGTTTGCATGTTAATGCTTTTGTTTGCCATTAATGGAAACCTACAGAATTATTTGCAAACATTTGCCTCATTGTGCAAAAACTATGATTTCCACAATTTATTCACTGAGCTGCCTTCAATGATTTCTTAATAAGCTCAAAACATAGTTGCTCGATTGTTTGATTAGAAAGTATCTGTTGTTGTGGATCATTGCACATTACCACAGTTCCATTGGCCTTATGGTACATGCTGTGTTTTGGACGAAGCAGTGAGCAGCCTGTGAAATGAATAAATGAGCTGTATTCCGGGGGTGAGTGAGGAGTCAGCGCAAATTGTGGGAACAAATAACAGTCAGACAAGGCAGTGTTTTATAACATCAGTGCTGCAATCCATCTTTGGAATTTTTCAAAGCTCTGCTAATAAAGGCTTGCTTGCAATCCCCAGCAGAGAATCATTTAATTAAATTTATCCATTAAAGTTCCTTTTCACAGAGAGCCATCATTCTCCTCTGTCTCTCTGTCTCTGTTTCTGCAGATGCACTCAACACTCGGAACAAGCAAATCATTTGCACCACTCTCAAAGTGCTCCAGCACCTGGTCGTGTCAGCTGACATGGTAGGCGAGGCCCTAGTGCCTTATTACCGTCAAATCCTCCCCGTCTTCAACATCTTCAAGAATGTGAATGGTGAGTTGTCACACACAAACCATGAATCTCTATTTTGGCACCATGAAGGGGAGGAATGTGTCCAAACAGTTTACTATGATCAGTGTTAAGATCTATTGCCTTATACATCTAGATGAAGCACTAATGGAGCAGTTATTAGTATTATTATTATTATTAATGCCTCCTCTGGTCTATGACATCATTAGCAATTGAATTTACGGTTCACTGACAGCTTATTCATCACATCAAATAAGTCACATAATGTTTCTGTTGGCTTTTTCTGCAATTCGTATGGTACTTCTAAATATCTCTTTGACAACCAAGCTCTCTTTCTTGAAATTGGTAGATTCATTGTAATTGGAGACCAGTGTCCATAAAAAGATATTAATATGTTGATGGTCACTTTCAGCGATGAAATAATGTTGTCCCAAACTTTGGGCAAGGTGAGAATTGTTCCTTTTAGTTTCAGAATAGAACAGCAGCATTTTCAGGACTGTTGTGGCATCTCTGCAGCAAAATCTAGAACAAAGAAAAATAAAAATATTATCCTTTTTGTTTTATTCCAAGTCTAATATGAATTAAAATTATTCTTTGTGCGTTTCGTTTTATTTCTCTAATTCTCTGTTAAAATATTTATTGCTGGTTTATATAATGTAATCTAGCATTTATTTTCCATGAGGGATGATGGCTCACTTTTCCTCCGCTGGCATTAAAACACATTTCTGGTAATATAGCAGTGCGAATTTCCTACTGAGGGCTGTATCATTGAAATTCATTGCCCAAATGCACACCTGCCAGGCGTTCTCTACTGCCAGTTTTGATGATTGCCCACAGTTGGTGTGAGTTCTCGACAACCCTCAGGGAGTTACATTTGTTCATTTAATCAGTGGATTTAAAATGCCTTTTTTTCAACATTTGAATTGGTATCATTTCTGCCTTCACTGTCAACACGGGGACCCAAGCATATTCTTCAACATTTGAAAAGAAATAACTGAAAGAGGCTTAACTTTTAAATACTCATCCCATCAGTGGAAGGATGGTTCTTTGAACGACTAATCTGTCATGGAGACACTGCCTTGTTTCCAGACGCTCATTGGAAGTGACTGAAACACCCAAACCTGGTGGTATCCCAGATTTTATGGAACGACACTGTGCACAACCACACTGTACATCAGCATAGCATTAACATTGTTGACAGATTTTCTATCATTAGAAAGCAGCTACAACTCAAATGATTAATATTGCAGAAATTCTAAAGGCACATTTTATTAAAAGCTTGGGTCCATATATATTTGAACACCTTGAGTAGGTCCTGTCTAATCACGTATTTGAGAGCTGAAAAGAAAGTGGGGGTAATTTAGCAGTATATTCAATATTCATCATATCACTTCTACCCGAATGTGTGGGAATATTTATCCCTTTTCCTGATGCTTGGCCCATTAGCAATGTACCAGAAAACTGAGCATTAGATATCAAGCTTGTGCATTGTGGCTATCAATTGCTGGTGAGCTGGATAACCCGTTTTTACTAAATGAAATAAAACAGGTATCTCATTAACCAGACACCAAATGCCACGATCTGCAAGCCAGAATTACAGAAGTCACCATCGAGAATGGGTGGGGGAGGGTTGAATCTGCCTCCCACACAGGAGGTTGCTTTCAGTGTGATAAATAATGAATGTACTACTAAAATGATCTCAATGTATGATAGAAAAAAGAGAGGTTGAGAGATAATATGTTAGATGCTCTCTCTATGTAATTAATGAAATTTAAACAATGTGTACTCATGTTCTACTCCATTATGTATTTTGAATTTGCTGATGAGAACGTACTGACTGAAGGTTACAAAAGTATATGTATTTTAAAATTATTATTATTGCCAATTATTGCCAATTATTATTGCCAAGGGAGGGCGCAAGGCGAAAGGATTGTGGGTTGGAGTTCCAAAGGGTGGGGGCAGAGAGGCTGAAAGCCCGGCCGCCGATGGATAGGGAGGGTCGGGCAGGAGACATGGAGCAGGCTGGAGCCTGCTGAACAGAGAGAGGATAGGGACTTGCTAGAATATGCAACACCTAACCATTCTTAATGTCTGAACTTAGAAGTATCACAACCGTGTATCATCCCGTGATTAACCAATATCCAGATGTGTACCCGTTCAAGTAAGGATCACTTCCGACTGATCAGGAATAGGTATTCAACTCTCCCTAATTCAGGAACATTAAAACCAATTGTTACCACCCCAAGTGCTGACCCAGCTGAGATCCCACAGACCATACGGTTGCATGTTTGAATCTGGAACTGAGTTCAGGATTCTTAACTTGCATCTTTCTGATCTGCATGGTTTAGTCTGATTTCAGCCAGTTTTGCTCACTCAACAATTGGGGAGCTCACTTTATTATTATTTTTGCTTTTTTGATGAAATAATCAAAAAAAATTCACTCAAGGCTAAACAAAATAAATGTGGTGTCACTAATTAAATCTGCATGGGTTGTGCACAATTATTTATGCCTCAAAGTCACCAACATTTCACTAATTTAATGTCCTATGAAACTCATTTTGCATATGCAGCTTGTGAAATGCCAAATAAATTTGTAATTTTGAAAACATATGCAGATATAATATGAAAAGGGATTGAAAAAGTAAACTGAGTTGTATTTAAATATGATGAAAATGTAAAGCAAAATGAGTATTGGGGAAAAGTTTGATGAAAAATTCAACATGGATGGTACAGTAGGGTGAATGCCTGTCGTTTCCCCTCATTGTAATTTCCCAAGTGGCTGATTAAAAAAACAACTTGGGAGAGGTTGCCTGTCTTTTCTCATGTCTGGAGATTTTTATGTAGCACTGAGGAAGAGGAAGAGAAAAAAGAAGATATTTTTGCTTTTCTGATGAAATAAGCAAAACAATTATAAAATAATATTGTCTGAAGGTTACAAAAATATATCTAATTTAAAATTATTATTGCCAATCTTTTTCCCAATAAACGTGTTCCTGATTCCCCGACTGTTTAGCGCTTTGGGACATCTTCCCAACCTGAAAGGCGTTGTTGTTTTTGGTGTTGTTCAAATATGAATGAGAATACAATATAAATGAAAATATAATCCCCCAAATTGTTCATGACCCGCTTATTGTAGCTGACAACAACTGTAGTGAGGACTCCCTGTATGTTATATGTGTGAGGTAAAATATTAGTAGTGCAATAATATGGCTTTTTAAAACTGGGTTCTATGTCAATGTGCAGAAGGTCAACTTGATATTTCTCACAAATTGGTCACTGGGAAAGGTGCAAATCAGACTTTCAAATCTTTATTATATAATTAAAAACTCTGTGGCCACTTTGAGGCTTGGACACATAAAGGTACACTGATCCAAGCTAAGTCGTACCTTGGAGAAAGAGTTTCCTGGCCCCAAATATTCTATGTAAATCTGACAGTGGCGCAGTATTTGGGTAGATTCAGTCTGAAATATTAGAAACTAGTTTCTCAAAGAGAATTTTTGAAAATGTTTTGGTTATAATCCAACTTGTTAAGTTTACCTTTAACTTTCAGCTGTTGTTTGACCTGCTGTCTATTTCTAGCACTGTCTATTTTTATTTCAGATTCCCCAAATTTCCAGGATTTGCTTTTTTTTCGAAAAAATGATTAGCACTGGTCAGTGACACACTTATCTATGTGAAGGGTGCTATATAAATGCAAGTTTTTGTTGTTGAGTCAGTGATGTGAGAGCATCAATTCAGCAAATGAAGAAATGGGGAAAGGTTAACAGAATATTTTTCAGGCACAAATTAGTTAGGTTATGGAATGCCTTGCCAGGAGCATTGGTTGAGTCAGAATCCATATTATCTTTAAAAGGGGACTAGATGAATATATAATAGGCATAAACAACAGGAATGTGGGGAAGGGTAGGTAAATGGGTCTGAAAGGATTGCGCAATAGCTCCAAAAGAGGAACTAGCACCTGTAACAGACTCAATGGGCCGAATGTCTTCATCTGTGGTCATTTTTATGATTCTGTGAACAATCTAGTGCCAGTTTTGTTCAATGACAGATCCTCTTCAAGAATGTCAATTCCCTGGGTCAACAAATAGCTCTTTGATCCACTGTTTGGCCTTGATGTTGTTTGAACAAGATATCCAGCTGCAAAGGCATCACAGCTAACCTCTGACATTGTGGCCCATTGACTCCATTGCACAGTCCAGAAACACCAGCTGAGCTATGGTAACAAGCAGGCATACAAGTCAACATGATCGATTATTGAAAAAAGATTTGGTGTTCTCATGCAATAATTTTAAAGCTTTGATCACATGAGGGCTTTCCAGTAGGAGTCAACAAAGTGTGCAAATCTTTTAAGTGTGAATGGTAGGATGGGTCTACTGGAAGGATGAGGTCAAATAGATTGAAAGGCCTCTCATGATCTCTGTGGTCTTTGTGTTGTATAGTTTGATGCATAATTGTCCTCATGAGAGGCATCCAGCTCAAAATCAATGAGAAGCAGATCTGGGATTTGGTTTCAGAGGGTGAATTTGGAGTTCTGTAGCTCAGTGGTTAGAGCACTCGCCTTGCAAGCAGGACACTTGGGTTCAATTCCAGGCAGGGCGAAACCTCGGGCAAGTTTCCTTACTCCACACGCCTAATAATAATCCCTCCAAAAAACAAAACAATAATAAATTGGTCATTTTCAATCCACGACTGTTTGTAGGACACTGCTGTGCACAATTGGCTGCCGCGTTTCGCCCACAAATATACAGTCAGTTCACTTTACAGCAAATTCTGTGAAGCGCTTTGAGACGTCTCGAAGACGTGAAAAGTGCTATATCAAATGCAAGGATTATTATTATTATTAATTTCAGCAGAGACTTGAGTGATTCAATATCACCTCTTAAAAATGCAGTTTGGTCAGACAACTTTTATGTTCCACACCTTGATTGAACCGCCATCTACCCAGACACGCTAAGGTCAATAGTACTCACCCATAAAAGAACAATGTGTCCATCATATACTGAGTGTTCCCACTGAGTCAGTGA